ATTAGGTATTCTCTCGCGGACCTTTGACACCCAAAACACATCCAACACAATATTGGTAGTCGGAGGGGTAACACGGTACCGCTGAAGTGCAGACAAAACAATCCCAATTCTTGCTGCCTTCATAGTAATGATAGAAAAGGCAAATGAAAAGAAAGCCATACTAGTCGGATTAGAGAGAGAGTGTATCTGTTTGTTTCCTTCGGGAAACACAAACGTACAATATGGGCCACATGAACTCTGTCAAAAGGTACAAAGGTCCTTTTTCCGCTTTGAATGACCTCCCTTTCCTAGACACAGGGGGGCAAACACATGCTAATATGTAGATAAAGAAAGAAAGAAAGAAAAGAGCGATATAATAATTATAATAATAACAATAATAATAATAATAATTTACAATAGATATTCATGATACTTTTATTTTTATTTCCATCTATCTATTTGTGTTGTTTATTTTTTTTTTTTTTTCAGTTTCCTCCTCCGTCTTTTTTTTTTCTTTTTTAGTCCGTTGGTCTTAAACCGCGTGTGAGTGTTGGGAATCCCTTTGGCTGCACCTTGGCGTTATTGATCTCCAGAACATCTCCCATCTTCTGATAGTCAAACCTGCGACTCTTCTTCCCGTAGGTATCCCGCAGCTGCTCCAACAGTTGCCGAGCGGCATCCTCACGGTGCTGTCGATTGGTGACTTGAAAGGTATGGGCAATATCGTCAAGATCGCCAGTGGGTATTTGATCCACATACGGATCTGCGTAGAATCCTTCCCATCGCAATTGCTGATCGGCTTCAGCATCAGAGTTGAATGTAACGGCGTGTGTGAGTGGCCGCTCCACGGAGAGTGGATCTACGCGATGACTGCTGGAGGCGAGATACTCCTCCATGTGTGGACTGGCATGGCGGTACATATCTCGAAGTCGATCATGCCGTGCCGTGTCGTTGGCGGTGTTCTTCTTCTGTAAAGAATTATGTGATTCTCCTTTCCCTCCTTCTCCTTCTTGTGTGTTGAGATGAGATGTCTCCATTTCTTCATCCTCCATCATTAACTCACGATTGTGTTGTTGTTGTCGTTGCATCTCCGCCGCCTGTCGTCCCATGGCACTTGCCTCCAGTAATTCCTCCCGTTTGCGGCTCTTCGCTGCATGTTGGACATCCTCAACATAACGTACAAAGGCATCACCATTGAAATTATGCGGAAGGGCAATAATTCCATTTGCCCAATCCACATCCACATCAGGGGCAAGTACAAATGTCATGTCTTTCCAATCCCATGCTGCTAATGAAGAGGCAATGCGAAATAATTCTTTTGCCCATTCTAATCGTTCAGCATAGGTACAATCATTATTAAAAGCATCTATACCACCAGGTTCCGCCATGGTTCGAAACTCCTTTAAATGCCACATAGTTGCTTCTAACATTTGTTTTGAAACTTGATAAAGACGTTTTTGTAAACTGAGTTTAGGTTCAATTTTCTTTAGCCAAGGACGTAGTTCATCATTAGTAAGTTTACAACTAATAATTACCACACCATTTGCCCGCATAGCATGTCGCATACCAATTTCTAAGGTTAAATTTGTGAGTCCGTATACATGTAAAAGTTCCTTATTACGATGTAGTAACTGTAATACCAATAAGGCCTCTTTATGACTACATGATATTAAAATATCATCTAGTTCCAATTCGTTACAAATTTCAGAAATAAGTTGTTCTACTTTAGTAGCAAACTGTGAGGCAGTTTCACGACAACGTGCGAGAGCTTTATCATTATGTGCAATAAAGCTTAAAAATTGATCTGGAGTAAAATCCCATGGAATAGTTAATGTTCCAGTAACCTCACCAATATTAAATGTATTTGATATAATTAATGGCATAGACTCCCATAATGGGTACCGTAATTCACCAAGATGTTGTCGAAGTGTATGAAGAGCGGCAGCTGACTGTAAAGGTGAAAGTGTACGCTCAAAGAGTACCTGATCAGCCTCCATTAACTCCTCCAAGGTTGGTGCTGGGGTAATACTCCACTGGAGTGACATACTTTCAGTGGCCTCATCCAAGAGAGATTTTGGTTTCTCTGCACCTTTGCGATTTGGCCCGTGGCGTCGTCGTAATGGTTTCACTTCCGCCCGCTGCGCCGTGGCATCCTCAGCTGCAGAGATGGATTCTGTAATACTATCAATACAAGAGGCACGGCGAAGTAAATCCCGTAGAAACTTATTTACAGAACGTTCCACTACCCCACGATGGGCATCACTTGGGGTGAAATTCTCTGGAAGTTCAAAAGTAGATTGAATAAGTGAACTCTCCTCTTGTCCACTACGTCGTGTAAAGGAGGAGGTGGTTTGTTCTGCACTCTCTGCCGCCTTATCCTCTGCTTTTTGATAAAATGTTAGTGTGAAGGATCTCGCTGGGGGTGGGGAGAGTGTACCGCCCTTGAAAGACTTTGCCCAACTAAGCAATTCGTTGAGACGCGCCACAGAATTCTCATTCACTATCTGTTGACTACGGTTGTGATGGAAAAAATCTGGATGAACCTTTAGAAAGAAGGAGTGAAGTGCCTTCTTATACATTTCCTGCTGTATATATGAGCCATATACATTTATTTTTTTTTTTATTTTTTTTTGAGAGGGAGGATAGGGGTTGGAAAAAAAAACAAAAAAAAAAAATTAAATAAGAGAAAGGAGATGCAATAAGTGAGAATATGCAAGAAATACAAGGAAAAGAAAAAAAAATAGTGATAATAAGGTTAAAAATAAAATAAAAAAATAATCAAGTAGTTCAATAATAAAACATCCGGCACGCCATACATACACACACATACGTACATACGCATATATACTTACTCTTCAAAGGAATAAAAATGAAAAAAAGCGGATATACATATATATATATATATATATATATATATATATATATATATATATTGGTCCCTTTCAGAATAAGAGGAACCCCCACAAAAAAAAAAAAAAACCACAACCGAGTCTATGGCCGATAGTATCAGAAGATACTTCCACCTGGACCACCATAAGGAAAACAAACCAAGGAAACAACGAATCAGCAGTAATGAACACCAAAAATAAATAAATAATAATAATAATAATAATAATAATAATAATAATAATAATAATAATAATAAAAGGAATGCTACAGCATTAACACCCTTTTATCTTATTTTACTTTCTCTTCTTTCTCTTATGTTTTCTCTGGAGGGGTAGGAAGTGTACGATGTACCTTTTCATTATTCTTCTCTTGAATAGTCTGTCGAATCATCTCAGCAGCACGTTTCTCCGCATTACGAATAGCATTAACGGCTTCACGTGCTTTTGAAGCGCTACTTAACGTTACTTGAATAGAAATCACACGTTGTAATAACTGATCTTTACTTGGCACTGTTGCGAATGAATTTAAAGTTTCCACAGATGATATGGTACTTTCCATACTGGTATTACTATTGAGTCCTTGAATTGATGGATGATGGTTTCGTTGTTCCTGTTGCTGTGAAGATTCATCTCCTATACGAGATAATAATTCATTTCTACTAGAAGAAGCGGATAAAGATTCTTGTATTCTTTTTTCCATCTCCGGTGTGGAGACCCCCAACTCCTCCGGTGAGTAACTACGCTCTACACAGATATGCACAACATGTGCTTGACCCCCCGCGGTGTGTTCATCCTCTATTGAACACCGTACACCACAAACAATAGGGTGTACTAATACGAGCATTTTTCGTGTGGAAATGCCAAAGTTTGTTTTTTTTACAAACCACACTACAAGAAATACATCCCATTCTATACTTATGGTAACAGGTTGTCTTCCCCATTTTCCTTTGCAGATTCTAACTTTATTTCGTTGTTGTTTATCTAGAAGAATTGCACCATGGGCTACTGCACTATAAGCCAGAAACTGTAGTCGACGAAGTTTCTCTGTATAAACCCCAACATCATGAGTAGAATGTTTACTACTTATTTTGTCATGCTTCTTATTCGTGTTGATCTTTTTGCTGTTATTACTATTGTTGTTGTTGTCCTCCTTGTCGTCGTTGTTATTATTATTATTATTACTACTATTAATATTATTATTATTCGTGTTGCTCTTGCTACAGCTACTGCCTTCTCTATAAGAAACAGATGTGCTAGGAGCCCGATATATACCTTTTTCACTCCCTCCAGAGACACGATAACTCAATGAAGAGTTCGGAGTAGGTATTCTCTTAAGTGCCTCCACTTCTTTTTCTTTTTCTTTATTATCTTTATTATTATCATCTTCCTTTTCTTTTGTTCCTGCTGTGGCATCATTCGTCGGTGTCTTCTCTGCAGGCTGTAATGATGGTGGTGTTTCTGGTACCATATCTTTCTCATCTATCACTTCTACATTTGTTTCCTTTTCTTTATTTTTCTCTTCTTCTCTTTCTTCTTCTACTTTTGATATATCCTTTTCCGCTTCGCTTTCTTTTTCTTCTTCTTCTCCATCTGGGAATACATTTTTGACAACAACACTATTATCATCACTATTACTATCATTATTGTTATTATTATTCCCCTCTCTCGGTTTCATTTTGTCAGGGGTGGGGTTAACAACCGTCTCTATATCTGATATACTGGATGCCCCAATCTCCCGCAGCATCGCAGCTTCATCACTATGATAATAATGTACAAGTGTACTCAATGTACGATAGCGATTAGCCACACGTGCCAATAATTCTTCAGGTGCATTCTGCTGCAAATACAGTTGTACCGCATGAACAGTATCATATAATACATTAGATCGTAGTAACTCTGTAAATTTCGGTAGTGCCTCAAGATCATCACTCATTATAATTTGTAATCGCTCAGATATTGTCGCTCGTCGTCCATTCGTCAATACACGAAGCTGCATTGTTGATGATGTTGGTTCCCAAATTAGAGAAACAAGGTCAACAGTATACATTCCCGCATCTCCTCTATTATTATTATTATTATTATTATTATTATTATTATTATTATTATTATTATTATTATTATTATTATTCGTACAATTGCTGTCATCGACACTGGTATTCCCTGCCTTCTCCAATGAAGGTAAACGTAAAAAGGAAAGTAAATCATCCTCTAATCGTTTTCTTGCCTCTTCACCAAGGGAGTCATCACGGTGAAGTATACGCCAACCACGACAAATAACATGACCTTCACGATGAGGAAAAGAAAAAATAAAAGTCTTCATTCTACTTGTTAAACGTCTGGATATTGGACCAACTTCTTCTTCTTCTATTCCCTCAACAGCATTAGCAGTGGAAGGTTGTACAGGTTGTACCAAGGGGTTATCCATCACTACATTTGATTCGGAAACTCTTATTGGGGCATTATCTGGTGTTAATGAAGGAACCTGTGTTACTGTGTGAACATCATTTAAGGGAACAGAGTCAGGAATATTTGAATTTTCAACTTTATCTTCTTCCTCCTCTTCATGTATTTCTTTATTATCAACTTTATCAACTTCTTGATGATGATCATGATGTTCTTCATCTACAGTCTTTTCTATCTGCTGCGGCTCTTCCTTCTCTACTTTCTCATTCTGTTGCTCAAGCTTATCTACATTCAAAGGGACAATGAAATCACTTTTATCAATACCAGAAGAACTAGATGTGGCAATGTTAACTCCTATTTTTGGTGCATCCATCTCAACAGCTTCTATAGGTACTTTTTCCGCCTCAGATTCCTTATCATAGCTCTCTTCTTTTTCTTCAGTTTTTTCTTCTTTTTCTTCCAATACCTGATTGAGAAGTTGCATCTCTGCTGCCTTTTTAAGAGAAGTATCAAGATAATTCCCTAGTTCTTTTACTAGTTCTTCTTCATGGCCGTGTCGTGAATGTACTAATGCCTCTGGTGTTTTCTTCTTATAGACATCTGGTAGTACATCCCATGCGGAAGTAACAAGAGCTCGAACAATTTCAACCACATCATCAGCAGCACGTTGCAGAGCAGCTGTAAAGAGTGGGAATGCAATATAACCATTGTTAACATTTGCTATTAACTGCAGTCGATCGGCTAACACCGATCGGCGCTCATTCGTGGTAATCTGCAGCCTTGTTGCCCCATAGTCAACATTGTTTGTACTAGTACAACTACTACTAAAACTATTATCATTAGTAGTAGTATTCATAGTAGTAGTAGAAGTAGTACTGTTCTCGTCATCATTTTCCTTGGTTTCCTCATCTATGTAATTCCCTGATGGAGGAGGTGATAATATCAACGAGACTTCACTCACCTCAACTCGCTCTCGCTCCTCCACTGATGGCTGCAAGAGAGTCCAAACATCCCGCTCAAGACAGGCACGTGCATCCATACCGACGGGATCATTACGGTGAATTAACTGCCATCCACGACAAAGTACATGTCCCTTTGGGTGATAGTATGTTAATACAAAAGATCGCATCTTCCGTTTTCTTATCTTTTCTCGCAAGAGTTCTTCTTTTAATCTCTTACTTTTGTATTTGCTCCACGGCGTTCGTCGTACAGTAACACTAATGGAATCACTAACATATGTTTTCTCATCCGGCTGATGATGTTCTTGTTCCTGTTCCTGTTCCTTATTTGAATCTTGCATATAATACTTTTCAATTTCATTTTCTTCTTGCTTTGACGCAGTAATACTAAAATCTGAAGCATTATTATCATTCTTGTTAATGTCATCAGTGATCGGTTTTATTAAAGGTTTGTCCATCTCGTTTGGATATTCTTTTAGTGGATACTTTTCCAATTGTTCCTCCTGGTCAGTAGTATGGTTTTTCATTTCACTAACTGGCGCATCATTTTTTGTTCCTAACGATGTCTCAATAGCCTTTAAAACTCCATTTTCAGGTTGTAGTGAGGAATTATTCTCTAGTACTTTCCCTGTCTCTGTACCCTTTGCCGTATGTAGAAATAAATTGTCTGCCTTATCCGAAGATATCAATTTTGTTTTCTCACTATCGAGACTCCGATGAAGATGGTCTTGCAATGTCGTGTTCTCCTTTGGTAAATCACTACTGCGAGTTTTTTTAGCATCTATGGAAGCAAACAGAGATCCAAAATCAAACGCCCCTGATGAACGTGGTGATCTATGTTCATTTAAATAGGTTAAAGATTCTAATGATGATGATGATTGTATATTTTGTCGTTTTTCTTCTTCTCGTCTTTGTTCGTGTTGTTGTTGTTCTTGTTGATGTTCCAGTTGTTTCTTCTCTTTCTCCTGGTCTTGATGTTTAGATGTAGTTATTGTATTCTCTTCCGCACTGCGACTACGCGCCCGTGCGCTAGCCACCGCCATTGCCCATCGATCCTCACATTCCGGGATCTTAACAGGCGGCACAACACTGGCAGGACGTGAGAGAAATGGAAAATTAGCGGATTTCACACTCACAGATGTAGTACTTCCTTGTCTTTCTTCCCCTGTTGAGAAACTCGCTAGAATTTCACTCCCAATCCTACTTTCAGCTTCCGGATCAGGTGAGACGAGTCTCCTACTATTGGATCGTCGTCTCCTCACTTCTTCTTCTTCTTGTTGTTGATGATGTTGATTATGATGTCCTTGTATTATTCGTTCTGGAGAGAACGGAGCATCACCTGTGTTCTGCAAGAATGATGGAGTTGCCGGCATAGAAGAAAGAAACCGCTGTGGTGTTTCCCTCGCATGAATAGAACTAACATCACAAGGAGCAGATGAGTGTCTATCACGTATATTTCTTGTAAATGGTGATTGAAATGATGCACTTGCTGGAACCTCAACAAATGAAGGTCCTGTAGTATTCTGTAAAAATGGCATTGTTCCTCCTTGTGTTAAAGGAAACGTAGGGAAATATGTATTTTCTTCTTCTTCTGCTTCTTCTTCTTCTTCTATTTCATTTTCCTCATTATAAAAGTCTCTTTCTTCCTTACTCTTTACATGATTTTCCTGTAGTGATGAATATTCTTTTTCTCTTGGTGGAACTGTAAACACCGTCGTCTCATTACTGGCGACTGTAAAGGTAGGAGCTTCAAAAGCCCCAAAGTGAATGCTTAATGGTAAAAGTGGTTGTTTTTCACTTCCATACATTTTGACATTACTCTCATCTCTTCTTCTTCTTACAGCAGCTTCCACAATGTGTCCAAGTTTGGTAATGGCATTCTTATCCTCATGGTGAATTCCTGCGTTACCTTGTAGTGCCAAGGCTGAGAGTACAGAAGGAGGTGAAGACCAATCAAGAACAAAGGCTTGAATAAGTTGTATACATCCCCAAACTGTTAAGAGATTATTAGATACATTAAGTACTATAAGGTGTGAAAGAACACCAGTAGATGCGGAAGAACGTACAGCAACTGCTAATCCTTGGGCTCCTCTATCATTTATACCAGTATCATTTAGATATAGTTCTTGTAAATAACAAAATGCTGATGGGGCCATATTACAACGTCTGGATGCATTAAATGCAGCATGTGCTAACAGTTCACAGATAATGTTTCCTACAGATGATTGCTGATCAAACATAACAGTTTCCAAAGCAAATTCTACCTCTCCTTGCATCTCTTGTTGTAGTCGCCAACGAATACGTGAATCATTTTGTAAATCTCCTCCTTCTAATACAACCTGCAGAAGTACAGATGGTGGAACCTGAAGGCGATCAAAGCTTTCCGAAAGATCTAATATTAGTAATTTAGGGCAACAAAACAATAAATTAAGAAATAGCTCACGACAACCTATTGGAGTACATAATCTAGATAATGGTACACCACAAAGGTTTACATTAGTCAAAGAACACGGATATTGAAACTCCTTAAAACTAGAAAATTTAGCTGTACCAATCAATGGGATTGGCTCTGTAGAATTCTCCTCTACTCCTATAACGTCTATTTTTCTTGGAGAAGGCTCTTCATCTACATAAAATAGTTTGGGGGACATAAGTGAAGGTGGAATAGCACAGTTTCGTGATAAAAGAAGAGTTTTCAATCGATAAGCACAACTTGCTCCAGCAAGTAATTCTGAAATCCCACGCGCTGAACCATGACAATCACGTAAATCTAAAAAAGAAATTCCTAAATGAATCTCTTGACTCTTATACTGAATGGATATTTCTTCAACTGCTCTACTTTTATGTCCTTCAGGTATTATAGCAGAAGAAGAATCCTTATCCATAACATGTTGTGAACGTGCGTCATTAATATTGCGCTTATCTTTCCTAGTGAGATTTATATATTGTTGAACCAATGATGGTGGAAAAAGGTAACTCTCTTTATTCAATACTTCCATTTGTAATTTAGAAAGATAAATACCCAAATTTTGAAATCCATAATCTTTAAGAGAATTTCCCTGCAAGTGTAATTCATCAAGGGTATCAGACGCCCATAGAAGTAGTTTTCCCAAAAGCGTTGCACTACGGTATGTGAGACGATTTTTACTAAGATCTAAAACTTTTAATCTACGCAGTGTTTGTCTATTCTTTATATTTAACATATTCACTGCCATCTTTCCACTTCCCACCACACCGGAAACGTCACTTGCCGATTTTGGTGTTGACCCTTTTACACCACAAGCAGGTGAAGTCGTAATAGGAACTGAGGGAGAAACAGTAGAAACAGAATTGCTAGAACGTGACACAACAGGCACCGTTAATCGTCTTAAAGAAGAAGAATGAGAACCACGTCGCATTTGATTCGATTGACATTCTCGTAAAAGTTCAGTCAGTCGTTTATCCGTGAGACCCACTTGTGCCAACTTTAAAAACTCCAGATTTGCCATGGTTGGTAATACATCTTGACAAAACCAACTCCACTCTGTGCCTTCCATCTCCATGGAACTGAGGTCTAGTCGACTCATCGTTGCCGCGGAGACCTGTCGGTGCAGATGCCCCCGCAGTCCTCCCCTCCACTCCTCCTGGACGGGGGGCTCCGGGGCGGGGACGCGGGAACTCGGCTGCGGTCCCTCCCCTTCTTCCCTTTCTTCCTCCTCTTCTCCCCTCTCTTCTTGCCGCCGCCTCCAGAGATCTCCCCAGCCGTCCCTCTCCCGCTGGAGGGGCGGGGGGTGCGGCATGGCGGGCGGGTGTGTGGCTGCGACCCTCCAGCACTCGCCCTCAGGCCTCTCTTCACCGCCGAGTGCAGTTCACCCACGCACTCGGACTCTCACGACTCGCAGGAAAAGGGCTGCGGCCTTGCAAGCGGAAGAAAAAAAGAAAAAGAAAAGGGGAAGAAGAAAAAAATTTCGTTTGAAACAAAATACAGTAAAAGTGGTGAACAAAATAAATAAATACAGGGTAAACTAATCATGCTTAATCTGACACAGGAAAAAAAAATAATATATAAATATATAAATATATTTTTTTTTAGTAATTTGTAAGGTCGTTGGAAATATGAGTAAAGGTAGGGTGAACTACATTTGGTTTTATATATGTGACGACTTTGTTGTTGTTGTTGTTGTTGTTGTTGTTGTTGTTGCAATACGCAGAATACTTCTCCACTACCAAGTTCTACGTTGGTTTAGTACGATGTATACACTCACCCCTTTCTATACTTTCTTACTAATCATAAAAATCAATAGATATAATAATGCATTGAAAGGTCCCATTGTAAAAGAACGTAGTAGCAAGCGAAAACATAACGCAGAAAAGCAAAAGAGGTCCTCGCAAATGGTCTCAGCTTCTTGGTACTGTAGCCTATTGAATTATTTTTTTCTTTCTTTTCGTAGGAATTTCTTTGTGCGTTTTTTTTGTTTTTGTTTTTTTTTTTTTTTTCAGCGTATCAACTTTGATTAGTGATTTCTTTTTTTTTCTTTTTTTAAATACCTACGTGACTACTTCGCTCACGATACTCTTTTAAAAATGCATACGTAACATGCATCTCTCTCTCTCTCTCTCTCTCCTTCGCATATGTAACTTTTCCTTCTCTCATAGTTATGCGCTGCCGTTATTTCACAAAAACCATGATGTCTCTTTCTTCTAGAAAGAATGTTCACTACAAAGTCTCCTCTGTATTCTTTCTGTCGCTCTTAACGACCAGATTTCCGTTTCCACAAGATAAACCCCGTAAGTAATAAGCAGGATACACTCCCTATTACGGGTAAGACTACAGGTAATGATGAAGTTTTTTTTATTTGTGACTTGTTATGAGAATGACGATTGTTTAAATCATGATTTCCATTAGTTCCAGTTGAATGACGTTTATCTATTTCTTCACTCCGTGAAGCCGAGACAGAGTGACGTCCTTCCCCTTCAGCGTACTGTTGAGAAACACCTGATGAGGTTGTCGTTTCTCCCAATCTAACGCGACTAACCACTGGAAGCTCGTACCACAATTTGGGATCATTGTATAATACGAGAGGGGAAGGTTTTTGTTCAATCTCGTGTTGTGAGGTTTGAATAAGAAAAGTAGATGGAACACGGTGTAAATCGCGAATAACAATAATATAATTTTCAATTGGTTGAAAAATAGCGTCAAAAGCGTCAAAAAGTGGGGCCAAATTTACTCGTCGACTCATTGCCTGAATTATTGACATATGTTGTAAAGGTTCCAACTCCTCAACTGCGAGTACCACATCTGTGATGTCTTTAACTATATCATCTTCATAAATAGGTTCTACTCGCATATTAGGAACTTCATCAGGGCACAAATTCAGTACTTCCTGACGGTATTCCTTACAATTAACGTAGCAATATGGTACAGCATAACGCTTCCATACAGGACCATATCCAAAATGAATACCATTAGCCGATTTGAGTTGTTTTAATACCTGCGCAAAATCATAATGAAACTCCATTAAATCTCCAGGTGTGAGATCGTGAAAATGTCGTGGTCGGTAATTTGTTACCAGAGGTGCCACAACAAATTGGGCCACAGCTGATTGTGGTTGACCACTTTTCCCAAAACGTTGATCTACCTTAATATGTGGAAGTGATGTTTTGCAACGTTCACGAAGTGGAGCCATAAAAGGTGAAACACTGTGTAAAAGTGCATTTGCAAAAGCTTCAAAGGCATTTTTTTGAGCCATTTCACGTTTTTGTTGTGACTTTGTTGGTTTTTTCCATCGTCTATTACCTTTTGAAGTCAATGGAGGAAGCGGACGTCCAAACTCATCAAATTCTGGTACAGAAGCATGAAGAGAGGGAGAAGAAGTTGCAGCAGCAGCAGCAACAGTAGAAGAAGTAGTAGTAGTAGTAGTAGTAGGAACGGAACCTTTAGGATTATTAATGCCAGATGAGACTCCATTACCAACTCCACCTCCAGTATGAACAGTAGTATTAGTATTAGTACTACTTTTCGGTTTAAGGGCAACAACAGCACTGACCCACTTACCGCTTACAAGAGGTCTTACTTCATCTTCACCACCAGGTAGTGCTGGAAAACGATTATTGTCCACAGCCAAAGTTGCATTAGATTTCTTATGTGTGGGTGTTTGATCTGCACTGGAAGCATGACTCTGTTTTGATTGACTAATATGAGTAGTTTCCATCTTTCTTGGTTCATTTGCCTCACCACTCATTTGTCGTTCAATAAGTTCCTTTGTAAGGGCCATAACGCGTTCAAACTCCTCTGTCCAATTCGTTCCATCTAGTGTACTATCCCCAGTTAAACCTGTAGAAGTTGCTGCCTGTGTGAAGGAGGGATAATACGCAGGAGGCTCCATGTTTGCCTGATCGTGATGTATCTGTTCCTCCTGTTCGGCATTCTGCAAGGATGGGGCCTCAACATCTCCATCTACTCCAGCGGCTGCTGCTGCTGCTGCTGAAGGGGAAGTATTACCACCTAAAGCCAGATGGGGATCTTCAGCCGTAGTAGAGGCAGGAAGGACAAAAGTTGTCAGATCACTTGTTGGCCGCCATTCTCTCGCATTTACATTCAATGGTGTAGGCATCTCTTGGACGTTACTCTTTTAAAAAAAAAGTATATATATATATATATATGTGTGTACAATGTGTCTTATTTCCCTCCGTTTTTTTTTTTTTTTTTTTTTTTTTTTTTTACTAAGGCACTACTTTCTCCTTCTTCTTTCTCTTTTTTTGGGGGGATTCTTTTTTCTTTTTTTTCTTCCTTTAAAAAACTAATTTATCCTCGTTGTGGGAGGTAGTTCTTGTTCTTATTATTTTTTTTTTCTCTCTTTCTTTTCTTTTTTTTTTTTTTTCTTTTACCGTCTCGTATCGTCTCGTCTCAAAATAAAAGGTGTAAAAGATCCTTTCACTTCCTTCTTTCACCGCCTTTTCCGCAGCAACCCAAAACTCTCTCTTGTTCTTTTTTCTTTTTCTCGTTTCTTGCGATTTTTCTCTCTTTTTCGCCGACTGAAGTCCTTCCTCTTTTTTTTTTCTTTATTCTTCTTGTTTGTTTGTTGTACCAATCCCTCCTCCAAAGTAGGGCTACAATTCTCACGCTACCTTACCTGTGAGCTAACTGGTGCTGTAGAGAACTGAGAAAAAAGAAAAAAAAGTGATAATCACCAAAACGGCAATCACAAGGAAAGAAATAGAAAAAAAAAAAAAGAAACATTTTTAAAAAAGAAAAAAAATGAGGTCAGATGGAAACAGAGATAAATAAATAGAGAGATAAAAAAAAAAATCAAGCAAATGAGAGTGTGTGTGTGTGCGCATATAAATTGGCGGTGGTGGTGTTGTTCTACATTCATCGTGTCGATACTCCTCTCCAGCTAATATGCAGTTGAAGATATACAAATACGAATGATAAACCGTTCAATAAACTTTGTTTGAATGTACGTTCAATGTGTATAAATGAGTCCCACAGACGTCAGTGTAGTTCACGGAACCAATGACAGGAAACAAAAAGAAAAAAAAAAAAACAAGCAAGTAATCCCACACCAAATATGCAGTCATTTTACTTCTTCTATTCTCTATTCTTGTGTGTGTGTTTTTTTTTGTTTTTTTTCTGTCTCTCTAACCGTCGTCTTCAACTCATCGTAACTCTTCCTTCACTTGATTGGTGTGTTTTCCCATTGCTTACTTCATTCATATTCACTCTCCCATCCTTAGATGGTTTTTTTTTTTCTTTTCTTCTTTTAACTTGTATCTTTTGTAGATTCTTCCGCATTCAAACACCTTGCAGATTCGCTAACAAAACTCTCATATACAGATGGTATGTAATTATTGTACTCCATAACATGTGGAAGGTCACGATGCCAGCAATTTTTGAAATGCAACAACAGTTGATGATGAAGCGTAAAGAAACCCTCTTCAAAGTCACTCTCCTGCTCACATATCCTAGAAGAGGAAGAAGAAGAAGTCTTCTTCTCATTTTCAATGTTATCATTGCTTTTATTCTCCTCATTACTCTGCGAGGTGGACTGTTCCATTGCAGTTGTACTCTCCTTACCCGCCTGGTCAGAGGAAACAACACCATCACTATCCTTTTCTTCCACTTTCTCCTGTTTTATTACTGTATCGTACAGCACCTCCAACTGTGGTAGATCCATTTTGTAATCCTGTTGTAGTATCAACTGCGTTGTGAAATGAATGGAAACGACGGCGAGGAGATACCAATGGTGCTCCCCCTCATCCAGTGCCTTCTTGTTAAACGCCATCATCTCTTTAAATGCGTCGTTATGTGTTTGTGCGAAATGCACGAGTTGCCGGAGGGCGAGGATGCCGCCGCCGCGGAGATCGGTTGTGGGATTGAGGCCCTGAAAGCCGAGAGCGGCCCACGCCGGGCTGCTGGGGGCGAAGTCGTCTGGCGCCAACCCGGCGGCCTCCCACAACTCCCGCAGAAGTTTATTGTCGGCGGGACTCGCGGGATTAAAAGGCGTCGCGCGTTCCGCCTGCAGACGTGCGGCCTGCGCAGCGCAGCGGGTGAGGCGTTGTAAGAGACACACCGCATGGGGAGAAGCACTAATATCCTTATCACTCTTTATAGTAGTATTAGTATTAGCAGTAGTAGTAGTAGTAGTAGTAGTAGTAGTCTTAGTAGTAGTCTTAGTAGGAGTATCATCAGTAGAGGGAGGAAGAGCAGTTGAAGAAGTGGGGAGGGTACGTTGGAGATAGGCGTAGTGTACATCGTCCAGGAGGATTTGCTTTTCGTTTTTGCCGCGGAAGAAATACATCAATTCGCCCAATGTTGTGATATCCCCGCGGTTGATATGTGTGATGGCCTGTCGAGTGGCCAATTCCGGTCGTTGATTGGCAGAGATAACAAGTCGAACAGGCCGTCGTCGGCGCCGTGATGATAATGATAATAAGGAGGACGGTAATAAAAGTGATGTTAATGAAGAGAGTGATGATGGCAGTGATGGAATCCACCCACCCGTACGGGATTTGTGAGATCTGTGGTAGAGAACAGTAATAACTCCAGCAACCCCAACAATGACGAGAGCCACAGCCACATCGGATTGAATATTACGTGAGGAAAACCACATTTATATTAGCAGCCTATTATCACACACACACGCAGGATGGGGGGAGTGATGATGATGATGATGTGTTAACTGTTCCCTGCCAGAGTATAAAAGTAAATATTAAAAACAAGAAAAAGAAAAAAAAGAATAGAAACAGCAAAAAGTAGTAATAGTGGCAGTAAAAAAAAAAAAAAGGAGGACAAAAAGAAGCAAAAATAAAAAAATAAAACACGCAGACATACATTGAAGAAGGAAAGAAAAAAAAAATAGATGAATTCACAAATAAAGTAAACTAAAAAAAAGAAAAGAAACAACTGAAAGAGTATAAATATTGGTAGCAGACTGCCTGATACCCTGAAGGTTCTCTCCCTCATTCATTCAGTTGTTTTTCTTTTTTCTTATTTTACTCCCTACGGTGAAGCGATAGCACCCACGCAGGGGCTTCATTCATCCATGTTGTGTTCAACCGTGTCATTGTGAGAACTCCACCATCCTTCCATTCACGCACCGTCCCAGTCTCTGAACAGAGTCGAAAGAGTGGAAATGATCGAACTTCAGGAAAGGCGCGGATTAGAAAAACACATGTGAGAGAAGACCAAGAAGAAGAAGAACCGGGTGTGTTTGATGTTAACCACATACGTTCTAGTGCAGCACAGAGTTCACGAACAGCAGTCTCTGCGAAACCCAGTCCAGAACAAAACACAACAAAATGTCGAAAGATATTCTCTTCCTTCTTGTTATTCTTGTGATTAGTCATAGTTCCTTGTATTCTTCTCTCAGCAAGAGGAAGAAATGTCTCATTGGTTAAAAGCCCCGGTGAAAAGATATCTACCTCACCCAACACCATAGATATATCTTCTTCCACTGCTTTTGACGAACTGAGAACCCATCGTTGTTGTTGTTTTTCTCTGGAATCCTGCACAAGCTCAGAAGTACATTGAAGTGCCGTACGAGCAATACACATACGAGATGGTGCTATTTCTAACCCCACATGTGTCCAACAACAGTCTGTAGTATCCCGCTGGGCGAGTAAAGACCATTCAAATAATAATTTACCTGTGCCACTACCCACATCAACAGCTACAATAGTGTGATGACTCTTCTGAGAGGATGTTTGCATTTCGATTTCTTCTTTATGTGGATTGTTTTTCTGTTTTATTAAAACATTATCGTCATTCATTTGTACATTAAAACCATTTTGATTAAGAGTCTGTAGTATAATGTGATGTAGTTGACGAACCCCTTTTGATGTGAGCTCCCCGTAAAGCTGCGGGTTGTTATCGGATTCTTTTTCTATCATAGTAGTAGTAGTAGTAGTAGTAGTAGTAGTAGTAGTAGTAGTAGTAGTAGTAGTAATAGTAGTATCTAAAGAGGATGTAGTTATTTTAGAAACATCTTTTACCTGTTCAAATGCTGTCAAGTCATCTTCTTTTAAATTATATCCATCCTCCATCCCATCATACACAGTATGAAGCTTTTCCTCAATCTCATCTAAGAAACACCTCGTCTTGTTGGGAGCTCGTAATGGTTTGTTAAGTAACATATTCTCAGTAAATACTTCTATCGCCGCCTCTGTGTTATTGTTCTTATTATTGTCCTTGTTGTTACTATTGGCAGATGATGAGAGGGAAGCGCAGGCCTCTGTGTAAAGTGCTAGTTTCATTTCAAACACCACCTCACATTTTGCCCGTGTTGCCTCAAACCAGACATTCATATGACTACTTCTATCAAGTCACTACACTATATGGGTAAAAATGAAATAAATAAAGAAATAAAGAGGATTTTCTCTATTGCAAACAACAGTAACAGATATATGGAGATACTCTCTCCATCTCTCTCTCTCTCTTTCACAAAGAATATAGATATGTAGACAGAAGATCTTTTAATAGTAATCCCAAACAAAACATAACTTTAAAAAAAAAGAAAAAAAATTTAACTGAAACTAGTAATACCACTTGTCGCCCACATAAGAAAAAAAAAAAAACAAAAAATAAAAAGAATATTATAAAAATAATAATAGCAAAATATAAATAAATAAATAGGCAAAAAATATACTTTTTTCTGTAATATCAAAACCTATATCATGATAGGTTATACTTTCATTAGGTGCTTTTTTTTTTTTTCACACCACCTGTTTATATATATATATATATATTTATATATATATGTCTGTGTGTAATACAATTTAACCTTTACGGTGTCGGCGCTGAAATGCCTGATACCTTGCAGAAACAATTTCACCAGATAGATTCAACGGTTGTCCACTACGTATACCACCACTAAAAAGAGCTGTTGCTGCTGCCTCTGCCAGTGTTGCTGCTACTATTGTATTAGGATAATAAGTACTACTGTCTCTCTGTTGTACTTCTTCTATTTCCATATGATTGTAGGGTGTGGTGTACTTTACCGGTGAAAAGGAGATATTATCCTCCTCTCCCACTGGCCATATACGGGCGGCTGTAGAGATTTGTTGATTAGGTGTTTTTCTTGGTGGTACGTAGACTGGAATGGAACTGGAATAATCAGAAGGAAGAGAAGGTGCTGCTGTTAAAGCCATTGCTGGTATTGACTGTGATGGAATGATCTCTTCACTTGAATAACAAATCATAGACGGTGTGTATGGTAGTGAAAAATCCTGATTGGGTATATTATATCTTTGACCAGGAATACCGGTATATCCTTCAGGGGGACCGGGTAACCAATAAGTTCTGCTATTACTATTATTATTATTAGTATTATTAGCATTGCCTCTACCTGTGAACATACCCTCAGCAGTTGCAGTTGCAGCAGCAGCAGAAGTAGTAGTAGGATAGTTGGCACCACTTCCCATTAAAGACATGGCGTAATTTTCACCAAGATAAGTAGATGGAAAACCCTCTCCATTTGCAACTATAGTAACAGACTCATCACTCCATCCATGTATATCTCCTGGTCCGGGGGTTGGACTAAATGATGTGATAGACGGCCGGTGAACCATATACTGTGAAGTTGGATTCATCTCCGAATCATTCCATGTCCGTTGTGAAGAAAAAAAACCTCTTCTCCCTTCTAATTGTTGTTGTTGTTGTTGTTGTTGTTGTCCATCTTCAGTGGAATTCATAGATTGCCATACGGACTTCTTTTGCGGAGTCCACATCTCTGCAGCATCTTGTGGCCATCCCTTTTGTTCTTCTTCAAAAACAAAAGGGAACGGCGGTGTACAAGAGGAGGAGGATCCCGTCCACTTCGCAGCCGACGGGATATTATAATGATCCATAGAGTCTCCTGGGAGTGCTGTAGGCTCTTCTGTATAGATAGAACTGTGATGAGGGAATACCACTTCTCCAGTGCTTGTATAGATATTATCATTTACTTCATAAGGCCTGTGTGTTACGGAATGTGAAAAAATCTCCAATGGACGTGATATTGGTGGTGGGAATTGTGATGTTTCTATTGTGCCACTTTCTGAAAATCCTGGAGTTTCATATTTTTGTAATGAATCACTTATTGTTGTTGGTCCCATTGTAGATGTAGTTGGAGGAGGAGGAGGAGGAGGAGGAGGAGAAGAAGCACCTTTTAAAGACCAATTGAGTGCCATACAATCCACACCACGTCCACTTTCTTTAGATGTGGATGAGGAATTGGATGTCTCTCTCTTTCTGTGATTGCGTGATTCCTCACTGCTACTATTAAGTGAGGAATGAGGTTCTGCAAATAACTTCACTTGTGAAAGGGGAACGGGACCATTTTCACTGTTACGATGACGTTTGTGTATTTCGTCCTGTAGAGAGTGTTCTCTTCGATTAGATAGACATTGTGAGGGTTGTGCATGTGATACTGGTAATGGTCGTGTGTCCGCCAATGATAATTTCTCTGTATACATTCCCTTATACACATTATTATGGTTCCTTCTCTTATTAATAGTATTATTATTATTATTATTATTATTATTATTATTATTATTATTATTATTATTATTGGGTATAGTACCTTGTCGAAAACTTGCGCGTGCTTTACTGCCACCGGTCCAACGCAGCATATCACCTACACTGTGTAATTTGGCTGTTTCTCAGCCTCCCAGACACACAGACAGAGAAATAGAACCAATCAATCACTCAATTAGACAACTTTATATATATATACACATGTTTATAGAAGGGCAATGTACAGGATTAATAAAAAAGGGGGTAATAATAATAATAGCAGTAAGAATAGAAAGAAAGAACAAAAAAAGAAAAAAAAAGTGTCATTTATGCAACCCAGAGAAGAAGATATAAAAAAAAAAAAAAAAAACAGGATCATCCTTCTTACCATCTATAATACAGTCATCAATAGTAACAGTAGCAATAATGATAATAGTAATAGTAATAATAGCGGTAACAGGAACATAATGATAAAATATAATAACAAGAATGGAAATGAAAATGAAAAAAGGTGAAATCATCAGATAAACACAGAGATGGTGCTCAAGAAAATATCGCAATGCCACGAATATCCCCTTTACACACACAAAACTGTGTGAAAACTTCTCCTATGTGAAGTATCTGTACAAAACCCTCAGACGCAAAAAAAAAAAACTGAATTTCTCGCCCATACATTTTCCTCTTTTTTTTTCATTCTTTTTTTTTTTGTCTTTTTTCGTTCTAAAATGAAAACAAAAAAAAAACTCTCGTCCCGTTTGCTCACGCGTTTAGTCGCATCTTACCTCTTTTGTTGTTGTTGTTGTTGTTGTCCTCCCTTCTTCTTCTTCTTATCCTTTCCTTCATTAATTCCTCTTATTGAAGCATTGTCCTCTTCATCACCCAATAAACCACTTCTATAAAAGTGGATAACGACATCACCTTTTCTTTTTTCGTTTTTCGTTTTTCTTTTTTTTTCCCCCTCTGCATCTCAACAAGAACTTGTACGTATTTTTATTATCATTATCAATTATCAATTATTCATTCCCACACTCTACTCACACGTAGCGCTCTGCATACTTCAACAGCGGCGCATCAAACTGTGCCCATTGATAAAAGTCCGGCAGTCCCTCCACAACAGCGGCCATATCCGTCACGGTGGCCGTCCCAATTGTTGTGTTCGTAGCCGTACTGGCCCCATCACCCAAAGTGTTGTTTGCTCCTCCATTACTATCCGCAGACTCTTGTCCTCCTCCTCCTATTGTTGTTGTTGTTGTTGTTGTGCCAGTATCTGTATTGATGCTCTCACGATATTGTCGATAGCCTCGTGCCCCATCAATTAATAAATCCAGACCAGATACAATATCTTCAGGCAACATTGCAGGAGGCCATAAGGGCGATGGAATACTTGTATTCGTACTGTATGTACTATTCGTAACACCAGCACCCACACTACTATTATTATTAGTATTATTAGTATTACCATTGCCAGTAGTAGTTGCAGTAGCGGCAACGGCAGCAGCAACAACTGAGAGAGGAACATTATTCATCTTTGATCCATTATCCATCAGCATTTCATTATTATTATTACTATTACTATTAGTATTACTATTAGTATTAGTATTATTATTACTGCCGATTGTTAATGATCTCATGTTGCCTTGAATTCCTGTTCTCTTCACCACTTTACGCCATAACTCTTCCAAGGCATTCCAAGACATGAGTTGTAGTGCGGCCGTAAAAAGAAATAGTGGAGCTCGATAACGCCAACGAGGTGAGGATGTTGTGTTATTCTTTCGCTGTCTATTACGACAATCTTGTGAGTCCGTGTGCAAACATGGTAGAAACCACACATCTGCACGACAGCGATTAGGTACTACACCCACAACAGGAATACGGGCAACACCGTGACATGTTGTGGATCCCATTCCTGCTACTAATAAAGGGGAATTATTTAATGGAAGGCAAGAAACTCCACCATTCATAGTAGACTCTATACAAGATCGTGTTGAACTTTGTACTTTAGTATAACGACTTTCTATACTATTGGTTGAAGCTTCTGTGGCTATATCTGTAATTAACTCTCCATTGATTTCTTTTGCCAAGGAAGCGGATGCTGATACAGATATAGATGTTGTCTTTTCCCCAATAGGACTATCCATAGACTTTCCTACCACGTCATTCGTAACATCACATGGAGATGCGGTTGGGGCCCACATATCCCATTGAATTCCTTCACGATCGCAGCGGAAAACAGGACTCATCCAATCACTATTCATTGAAGAAATAGCGTTAGAGACACAACTGGATCCAATATGACGTGGTGGACGTAATGCATAGTAAACAATAAAACTTCCACAACTATGTTTTCCAGTATGGCCTTGATCAAATACGGGTTGCCATAATACGGCAAACCATGATTGACGATCCAATTCATCTGTAGTAGCACTTAATAATACAGAATAACGTGGATTAGATTCTGCAAGTTCGTATACCTGTTCTAATAATAGACTTCGCTGGTCTGGCCTTTCTGTGGCTCCCCAAGTAACAAAACCCAATTCTACATCATGTGAAAAATTCTCCGTCATATTTTCTTGTGCCTCTTCAGGTGAGGCTATAGCTTCTGGAGATTTAGCACAAGGGGAAGAAGAAGAGGTGGAAGTTGGTCGTCCTATTGTTTCCTGCTTTTCCATATTATTATTACTATTATTATTATTAGCAGTAGTAGCAGTAGCACTAGTAGTAGTAGTACCTAAGGTTGTATTATTCGTAGTCGTAATAATCCCAGTAGAGCAAGTGCAAGATGGAGATTCTTCCTTCTTCATAGCGTTATTATGTTGGGAAGTAACAGATGATGAACCACTTACACTTTGATTCATAGCCTTTAGTTTCATGTACGTTGGAGATGTCTCAAGAAATCGAAGACGAAATCCACTAAGAAATGGTGTATACGCAAGTTGTCCTTGTGGATGTCGCATAGGTGCAAGAGAAACTGGCATTGGAAGTGGAATAGTACAAGCAAATGGAAAATCCAAAGACTTCCATACATTTATTAAAGAAATAGATGGTTCTATACATTTTAAATTGGGTTCAGCCCCTCCAGACTCTTCTTGAAGGGCTCCTGTCGTATCATCAGCACTACATGATGTTTCTACGATTCGATCTATACTTACCTCTGGGGCAATAGCATTAACAAAAGAAACAATATTTCCATAAGAAGAAAAATCAAATGGCAATTCCACATCTCTCTCTTCAAATAAATCTTCCTGTACTCCTTGTTGTTCATACAACATGGCACAGCGAGGTGAAGAAGTGACGGGAGTAAACTTTCGTCCAGCATTTTTAGTATTAGAACCCGTGGAGGTTCCTCCAGCTTCCACAAAACCCTCACGACCAGCAGTTGGTGATGCATTCGTGCCAGTATTTAAATAATGTTGTTGTTGCTGTTGTTGTTGTTGTTGTTGTTGTTGTTGTTGTGTCAAACCCGTTTGATTGCGATGTTGATTGCCGGGAATATCAACAATAGATTCAGCAGATGATGATCCACCAACACCTGGAGGACCCATCAGACGATTGGTCGTTGAGGGTATTTTTCCCGTAGAGACACCATGTGAAGAGGCAACAGGTGATCCTGCCACATTAGAGTTTCGTGAACGATGATGCGCTGGAGGATCATAATTATTTCCTAAAGGTTCTGAAGATAAACTAAGTGGATACATTGGCTGAGCATGTTGTTGATGATGATGATGATGATGATGATGATGATAATGTTGTTGATGATGATGATGATGATGATGATGATGATGATAATGTTGTTGATGATGATGATGATGATGATGATGCGGAAGGGAGGGATACGATCGCACCCAAGCTAACTCTGTCATTGGAATTCCACGACGAGCGGCTTCATTAGACCCACATAAATCAAGAGAAGGTGGTCTTTCAGCTTTACCATACTGTTCAATCTGTGGGGTACTTTTAAGACTTTCTGGCATACCTATAGTATTAGTATTAGTATTAGTAGTAGTTGTAGTTGTTGTTGTTTCATGTTCAGCTTCTATAGAGAGTGCTGGTCCTTTCTTTTCACCATCTATTATAGTAGAACTCTGTTGCTCTGGATCAGGTGTACAAGTCATCGGTTCTTTACTCATTGTCTTCCACATGTTTTCAGGCATTAAACGTTTTTCTGTTGGTGTCTCCTGTAAACCTGTCGTATTTCCCTTCTTTTGAGTCCAGCCTAATTCAAGAGGAATGGGTTCATCTTGCGATTCATTTAACGTAGACAAATTGGGCATACCCTTCATTGAAGTATACATGTGATGATGATGAAGATGATGATGATGATGATAATTATTATTATGATTATTATGATTATTATTATTGTTATTCCCCCCGGTTGCCAAAAGCGAGCTTTTATAAGATGGTGGTTGAAGACCTTGTGTCTCTGCCACAGTACGTGTTGGTGGTGTTGCTGTTGCAAAACGAGTAAAGGGTGAAGTAGAGGATTTATTATTCTCTGCTGTATTAAATGTGTGCGTCCCACTATTTCCACCAGCAAGACTCCAACTACTTTTCAAACTACTACTACTACCACCTGTACCATTCTCAGGCTTTGCGCTAGTGCGTTGAGATTGCACATCCCCAACATTCGCATTTCCACTTCTTCCATCCAAAGAACCACCCGCTAACTCTGTGAACTGAGAACTGCCGCCGCCGCCGCCACCTTCTTGAGAGAGTTTGTGTCCACGACGTGCACTTGTGCTATTGGAGGGTGTAATAGTAGCTGCTAATTCCCCTATCAAACTCTGTTCCCCCTCTTCTTCTTCTTCTCCTCCCCCTTCTCCTCCTTCTGGTACCATCATTCCAGTTGGGCTTTTACTTCTCACATAGTCTAACACAGTATCCTTTTTCTCATCCATGCGTGGAAGTCCAGGGTCAAATTCGGTTTTAGATACTTCCATTGAAGGGCTCATATGGAATTGAGAAGGTTGACTCTGTTGTTGTGGTTGTTGTTGACTATTATGATGATGATGTTGATGTTGACTATTATGATGACGGTGGTGACTCTGGTGTTGTTGTTGATGGTGGTGGTGTACCTGATAATGATAGCATTGATATTCATGACTGTGAAGAGGTTGTTTTGGGTATGGATTACCTTGATGGTATTGTTGTTGTTGTTGTTGTTGTTGTGTTAGTGGCGGTGGTGGTGGTGGTGGTAGTGGTGGTGGTTGTTGATAGTGTTGATGATGATAATACTGAGGGGCTGCTGCAGTGGTGGTAGTTGTTGTAAAAGGTGTAGATAGATTATAAGGAACTCCTGTTGTTTGTCCCCACTGTTGATATGTGTAATTAACCGCCTCTTGCATAGGCATGGAAAAGGGTGGAAACGGCAAACTAGTATATTCATATGGATTCATACGACTCCCAGCCGCATGATTACACATTGCACTTTGCCACTGCTGCATCATGGTATGATTACTATTACTATCCATACTTGTGGATCGCTGCAGATGTGGGTATTGTTGTTGGGCAGCCAAACGACTACTACTACTACTTCCACTAGCTGTTGTTGTTGTTGGGATGGTCAATCCCGATGCGGTGGCGGCTGCATAAGAAGGGCAATGGAGTCCATCCACATCCTCCTCTTCATCGTAATCTTCTATACTTTTACGTCTGTTCTGTTTCGCACGATAACTGCTGGAAGAAGAAGAAGAAGGCAGTGCTGGTGGGGCTAAAGAGGAGGTTTGCAGAGAATACCCCGCAGGGAAACTGGATGTATGGAACTGCTGCTGCTGTTGATGATGATGATGATGTTGATGTTGATGTAATTGTAATTGATGTTGGTGTTGAATACTGTGGTGTTTGTGATGGTAGGCCATTCGACTGCTTGGTCGCATTAATGGGTCTCCACGATGATAATGTTTTCCACGCATTCCTCCTCCTCCTCCTCCTTCTTGACTATCATGCCCCATACTCGTACTAATCATATTAGCATTAGTAGTAGTATTACTATTACTATTATTATTATTATTATTATTATTAGTAGTAGTAGTAGTAGTAGTCGTATTGCTATTAGTTCCTGTGGTATTGGGGCTGTTGTTTACACGGCTCTGGAATTCACTCGTTGTGTTTCTCGCAACTGTAGAAATGGATTTCTTTTCACCCGCATTCACCTCGTTCCACATGTAGACTCCGCGTTAAACGAATAATAAAAATAACAATAAAAATAAATAAACCAAATGGAGAAACAATTAAAGATAAATAAAAAAAAAGATAAATAGATAGAAAGAGAAGGTCTACTCTCTTCACTTCGTGTTGTAAGAGAAAGAGAGGTAGTGAGTGAAAAAAAAAAAAAAGGAAATGAGTTTCAACCTCCCTTTTTTTTTTTATTATTTTTCCCTTTTTTAACTTTTCTTCAGAAATAACACACACGTATGTATATATATATATACAGAGAGATAGACCCTTTTTTTTTTTTTCTAATCTATTTGTGATATATATACAGATATATACCTATATATATATATATCCGTATTCCTTTGGCTCACCTTTTGTGTGTTTTTTTCTTTGGTTTTTTTTTCCCCCCTTTCTTACTAATCCTGTGTGTATCTTCTCTTTCTTCTTTAATTGTCTCTTGTTCAGTTTTTTTCTTTTTTTTTCCTTTCTTCTCTCGTTGTGTCTACACGCTTACTTCTCTCAAATAATCTTGTGTATATGTGTATCTATATATATATATATATATATATATATATAGAATTTTCTTTTTTTTTTATTCTTGTGTATGTGTGATATTTGTTTGCTGCAGGAAGGGTTTGGTAGTCTCCCTGCCAAGTTTCTTTTTTGAAACAATAAATAAAAGAAAAGAAATCAGCAACAGTACTTTTCTTTTTAGTTTCCTTTAATGGATATAAAGATAGAATAAGGAGAGAGAGAGAGAGAGAGAGAGAGAAAAGTACAGATATATATATACATATGAACAGAGATAGTGAAATAGAGATAAACAGAGCAAATAAAGAGACAGAAGAAGAAGAAGAAAAAAAGGAAAGAAAATAGAAATATTGTGGAAATACAATAGTACATAAAATTTACTTTGAGTAGAGAGAGAGATATGCATATACATACATACACATTATATCTTCTCCTTTTGTTGGAACTCCCGCATATGTGTTGTTGTTATTTCTTTCCATCTTTTCTTTTTTCTTTTCCTCATTAATTCTCTGTATATATATACACAGAGTGTTCTTCTCTTCTCTTTTCTTCATTCTCACGCCTTTCCTCTTCTTCTTCTTCCTATCCGTGCTTTTATGGTTATCTTGGTTACTGTTGCCAACCCAACCGTCCATCGTCCCTTGCAGATGGGAGAAAGAAGAAAAAAAAGAAAATTAAGGCATATTCATGTGAAGGAGAAACAAAGAAAAATAGAAAATAGAAAAAAAGAAAAGCGTTAAGTTTACACATATATATATATATATATATATATATATATATAGAAACAACCATATATATAAACACACTACCCCTATACCCCTAAAATATATATATACCCCTCTATCTATATACACAAACAGACATCTATATATATATATATATATATATATATATATATAACTATAGAGAGAGATAGAGAGAGAAGGGGGGTGGGGAGGAGGAGGCGGAACACGGGAAGAGGAAGACAGGGGAGGAAAAAAAAAAGCAGTCAACATGTAATAAATGTATAATAGAAAGTAAACAAAAGAAAAAAAAAAAGCAACGTACTGAGAAAAAAAAAAAAGAAATGGATGAAAATAGCATGCAAACACAAACACACATCGCTCAAGAAAAAAAAGGAAAAAAGAAAAAAAGGAAAAAGAAACACAGAGAGAGAGAAAGAGAAAGAGAGATGCAATAATAATGATAATAATAATAATAATAATAATAATAATAATAATAATATAATCTTTACGTATGCAAAATCATTTTTTAGCATTTATCATCCAAAATCATCTCATTAATACCCCTCACACACACTCTCTCTCTCTCTCAATATCAACAACAACAACAATATCATCATCCGTTCACTTTTTCATTATTTTCACTTCTAGCATTTCTCGCTTTCTTCTCCGTTAAGAGAAAGAGAGAGATGGAGAAAGAGAGAGAGAGAGAAAGTTAAGAATATCTCATTTCACTTTTTTTTCTTTTTTTATGATTCATTCATTCCTCTCATCTCTTTTCTCCATCGTTGTTTGCTTTTTTTTTTCTTTTTTTCGCCCGTGTGCGAGTTTGCATTGAAAGAAAAAAAAAACAAAAAAAGAAACTTTTTTCCATTCACTCTTCACATTTATCCTCAAAAGTTAAAAAAAAAACGATTCGCACTCATTATTGTATTATACACCAGAGTGTTTATGTACATACAATATATATTTTTCTTTTTTTTTTATTCTTCGGTTTATATCTTTTCCTTTTTTTTTCCCCTTTTTTTTCGTTTCCCTCCCATTCTTTTTTGTTGTTGTTTTTAAGTATTTCTACATTCCTGTCAAACACAAACACGCAAACACACACACACACAAACAGACATATATATATATATATATATATATGCATTACTGTAAATGCATCTACATGAGAGAAGGAGGAAAAGAGAAAGAAAAGAAAGAAAAGAGTTCAAATCAAACATCACAATCCACATATGTTTCAATTTCTCTTCTCAACACTTCCCTCCCATCCCCTTATCCTCTTATCGTTTTCCTCCCATCACTCATAAATATAGATAGATAGATGTAGATATAGATAGAAGCAGTTCCATAGTAAATACTTTCAGGTACATACCCTGTAGTTGTTTAAACTCTCTCTCTCTCTCTCCCCACACACTATTATCAATTATCACTATTATCACTATTATCAATTATCCTTCTTCTTCTCTTCCTCCTCATCAATCACTTTAATCTGTGGCGTAGAGTATATCTAAGAGAGAAGATGCCAAACTCCGTGTGTCTCCACTATAGCTCCCCCTCTCCACAATCGGTAATAGCAACAACTCCACTTGTCGCAGTTTATCATAATAAAATTGTCTTTCATTCTCTACCGTTGTGAGCATTTCCACTGTAACTTCAGCATCACTCTTCGATCGCATCCCCACACGGCATGGAGATTGTGTTCGTCGCTTTCCACTTGGATTGGATTGTGTTAATAACGCCGGTGAGGTGGCATTCCGTTCACCACCCTTCCCTCCATGCATGCGAATATTCGGTGATGCACATGTGGATCTGGAATTGGGAGTGGTGGCATTACGCATGGAGTATTGTACACCCTTTGAACGGATCTTTGGCGAACAAACAGAAGCAGACGCCTCTTCACTGTTTTTACGCATTCCATCATTGGGAATGGTATTTGGATTGTGAGAAGATGTGTTATTATTATTGTTATTATTATAACTGCTAGTACTGCTATTGCAAAGAACTGGACGGGAAGCGGGGCCTTCCCGGCGAGATGTGATGACGGCAATGATGGGTGCATGATCTCCGGTATTTGTCGGAAGGCCATTTCTTCCACTTCCACTTGTTCGATCCGTTAACGTTGTATCGGGTTCACGTTGAGACATTCCACCATTCATACTGCTACTACTACTACTACTGATCTTATTATTATTATTAGGGTTATTATTAATACTACTATTGTTATTATTGTTATTATTATTATTGCTAGTCGTATTGATCTTACCATTTTGAGGTCGCAATAAGGAGGTTGCCGGTCGTGTACTCCCACCCGCAGAAACTGCACCCACACGTAAAGGACTCCGTGAAGTTCGCGACCCCTGTTGTTGTTGTTGTTGTCCTATTGCCCCTGTTGTAGTTGTAGTAGTATTAGTGGCTCTCCTTGTTGTGGTGTTTGCTCTTCTTGCGGCATTAGCGGTGGGTGTGGCTCCTGCGGAGGCGGCGGTCTTTACTCTCGACGGTGACACTTGTCGCTGGGCGGAGTTGCTGCGCTGCTGCGGCGATCGCGTGTTGACTTTGCGGGATGATGTCAACTCCCCCGTCGACGGCCGCACGGCTCTGGAGGAAGTGACGGAGCCCGGCAGACGTGCGGAGTTATTCCGCGTGGACTCCGGCAGTGCAGCGGCGGATGAAGTGCAGCCCCCGCTGGTGGGCGTGTGTGCAGGATGATAATGGCCCGCAGGGTCCCCGGCGGAGGAGGAGACGGACGGACCTTTGCCTCCTCCAGCAGTAATATGCGTAATGGTAGCGCCATTCATCATTCCCGCATCTGGGCGAGTAGTAATAGTAGTAGTCATAGTAGTTGTAGTGTTAGTAGTGTTGGTGTGATGAGATGTGGCTCGCATCTCTCGTATGGAGGGGTGTCGCTGTGAAGTCTCCAGTCCCGATACATTCCACATCTCTCCATCTTCTTCTTCGCGTTCATTTGATGGTTTATATATTCGCTGTTGTGGTTGTGGCTGTGGTGGGAGAAGTGGTTGCGGTGGTGATTGCAGTGATTGCGGTGATCTTGGCTGAGTGGCGAGGACATCGTGGAGTCCACGGAACCATTGCAGTAATTGCAGATTTGCCTGATAAGCCCCTTTAATAAGTTTATCCGTATCGTCTGTTAATACATCCGGTCGAGGAATGCCATTCTTCTGTAATGCGTCTGTGATGAGTTTCAAATTCGCCGCCGACTCAAAATCGTGTTTGGCGGGTACTTTGGCACGTGTGTTGAGTGGAGGATATTGGACTGGCAACATTAATGGAAGAAGAACGGCGTACGGCACGCCATTACCGCATTGTTCCACTTTGTGTAATCGTGGTAGTGTAGATCCATTGGCGGCGGTGGTGGGGAGTAACTCATTGAGCCACGCTAAGAGTTCTGTGCGGGAGTCTTTCGATGGCACTACACGGAGTGAAGAAGACATGGCGTGTGTGTGTGTGTGTGTGTAAATAATATATATATCTATATCTATATATAGATATAGATAGATATTTGTTTGTTTGTTTGCTTTGTTTGATGTATTTTTTTTCCTCCCACTCTCTCTCTCTTTTTTTTTTTTTACTTTTCTCTATTATTGTTTCTTTAGCGTTGTGTATCTACCTTGAAAAAAAAAAAGAAAAGAGGGAACGTTTTGATGTGCAGAGATATCCCTCAATGCTTGTATTCCTCTTTTTTTTGTTGTATTCTTTTGTTATTAATTTTCTCTTCTTCTTCTTTGTCTCTTCTATTCACACACTCTCCCTATACACACAGAGAGATAGAGATAGATAGATATAAAGAGAGAGAGAAATTCAATCTTGCGTTAATGTAGGAGAATAGGCTTTGAGGAACAAAATAAGAAATTGATTGCTGACTAATGTAAAGGTTTTGTTTTTTCTCTTTTTATAATCTACGGTATATGTAAAAATATAATTGTGAACAAGAAAAACTGTTGGAAAGTATATACTTTTTACTTTGTATTTAACTGTGAGAGTTTTTTTTTTTTTTTTACTTATTTGTTTCGTCCTCCGTGTGTTCTTTCCTTTTTTTTTCCTGTTTTCGTAAAGGAGAAAATAGGTGATTGATATTGACAGAAAGAAAAAGAAAAGAAAAAAACAACAAAGAAGAAAAGAAAAAACATTGCTTACACACACTCTCTCTCTTTCTTTAAAGAGAATAAATAATAGTAGAGGTTCATAAATACCATTGAAGATGCAAAAAAAGTAGGGATTTATTAAATATAATTTGAAATAATTCAATAAACGTAGAGGAAAAGCAAATGTAATTTATATTATACTGAGATCCATCATCTTCATCATCATCGTTATCATTATTTTTATTATTTTTATTATTATTTCTACTCATATTTGCTTCTCTCGCTTATTATTCGATTGTAATGGTCAGACTTATAAAAGTACAGTAAAATGAATGAAAGAATGGATGGATGAATGGAGAGGGGAAAAAATAAAATATTTACACACTAATGCACAGAAACATATATATATATATATATATATATATATATATTAGACTATGAATTATATACTTTAAAACGCTTATTATTATATATATATACGTGCAAGAGAACAGAGAGAGAGAGTTTAAACCCATTAAAGGGTTTGTTTCGCACAAGCAGTCATCACTGCAGATGTAGAAGAGACTCTAGTCGCCTGTTGGAGTTCTTTAGGATGACGACGTGCAACGTGAGCCAACCAACGTGTACGTGATGAAAAAGTTGACATACAATCATCATATGGACAAATAACAGTCGTACTATTGGTACTAGTAGTAATAGTAGTGAGACTCCATTTGCCAATACCGCAGGGAGAAGAAGAAGCCATGGGCCTTTCTCCAAGTAGCGGTGGTGCTGAAAGGAATATCTCACCACTACGAAGTGTACTCTTTTCTCCTTCTTCTTCTTGTTGTTGTTGTTTCTTACCCCATCCATCTCCTGTTGTTGTTGTTGTTCTAGTATTAGTATGGATACTATCGTTATTATTATTATTATCATTAGTAGTAGTAGTAGTAGTATTAGTAGACGTATACTCTCTATTCCATCTCTCTTCATGGCCTTCTCGCCGCATGTGTACACGTCGATGCCCATCTGATCCCGCCCGTCGCCGTGAGAGAATCCGACGACTCCGCCGCGTGCATGTGCGTGGGGCCCCAACTCTCTCTAAACTCAACTCTCGCCGCTCCTCCCGCTCTGGAGACGCGAAGGCATCCTCGCGGAATGGGCAGAAACATCGTAAATGCCGCCGCAGTTGGGCACGGCCGGAGAGTTCCTGTTCGCAGTTGGGGCACAGCACAAAGGTATCACCAGGGGCAGAGGGAATAAGAATGTTTGGTTCTTGTACTTCTTCTTCTTCCTCTTCCTCTTTCTTCTCGTTACTATCCATACTGGTATTAATAGTATTAGTATTAGTATTAATAATAGTATTGTTAGTATGTGTGGACTTTGCGGGTATAATTCGTGCGGGTTGTGGTCTTGATGGGCAGTGCCGTTCATGCAATGTGCGTGATCCTTTGCATGTAAAGTCCTTCGCACAGAAACGACATATTAATACGGTATTACTATTACTATTCATAGGAGTATTTGTTTCTTGGAGGTTTGACGCGTCCTTCTCTGTATTCTCATTCTCCATCTCTTTCTTACGAGGCGGATTAGGTAATAATGCTGCCATGTCTGGATGAAGACGGATAATGTGCCGTCGTCTGTTTGTACTCGTTGTGAAGTCTGCGAGACAAAACTCACACTTGTATGGCCGTTCCTTTGTGTGTGTGAGAAGATGACGATTGTAATTTGTGCGAATACTCTTACTTGGATCCCCTGTGATGGTGCGGGGACAATATGGACATTGCAGTGTTACTATACCAGCAGCCCGCCGTCGTCGTGTTGTTGATGATGATGATTGTTGTTGTTCTTGTGCTTGTGGTTGTTTGACTTTTTCCTCTTCTTCTTCTTCTTCTTTTACCGTGTATGGATGTAATTCTAGTAGAGGTTGTACTTCGGCAGTTGTTTCCATGTTGTTAGTGTCCATCATATGTGTATAGCCGTCTCTTTCTTTTCTTTTTCTTTATTGTGGTCGGTTAGTTTCTATAGGTCTCCAACGGTAAATAAGTACCAATGGTAACAAAGAGTGTATATATATATATATATATAATCTCAATGCTTACCTTTAAAGGGGGCGCCAAAGAAGAGAAAGAAAATAATAATAATAATCAGTCGTCAGAATACAACGGAGGGCAATAATATCCCAGTAGAGCCACAGAGAAGACTCACATTACAAAAACGCCAAATATATATAGAAATGAAATACCGAACAGAACACAAAAACAAAAAAAAAACAAAAAAAGAAAGAAGTAGCAAACAAACAACAAAAAAAAAAGATCTCTCTTTCTCTCTTTCTCCACTCACAACCACACGTAAAGAGGGGGAATCCATAAATGAATGAATAAATAACTAAACGAATGGAAAAAAAAAACAAAAAAAGAAAAAGAAGATTAACACATCTTCACAACGGATCGTTTTCGCTTGACGGCATCTCCCACAATGGCCGCCCCCTCATGCCGCAGGAGCCACACTTTACGCCAGAGACCAGAACCAAATCCCGTCAATGCCTGCGAGGCCCCAACAACACGATGGCAGGGCAACAACACACATATGTGATTCTCCCGCATAGCGTACCCAACCGCACGACTCGCATTTGGATGTTGACAACGTTTGGCAAGTGTGCCGTATGTGGTAATATCGCCAGACCGCACTTCACGAAGAACTGTCCATACATTTCGCAGAAACGGTGTGGATGGGGCGTAATGTATAGGAACTGTATCCAACAATTTCTGTAATTCTTCTTGTCGGATACGATGGTTTATATCTATATTGTCTTTGTTCGCATCTGTACTCGCATTGAAGTACGGGGGATAGTCAAAGTAACGTTTTAGCTGTTGGACCGCATAGGGATGAGCATCATTATTATTATTATTATTATTACTATTATCATTATTATTAGTAATAATAGTTTCATCGGTTCTTGTTTTTGTTGTTGTTCCTTCTGTCTTATTATCAACAACTTCAATGACAATCTCCTGTGGTTTATACGCCCTTCGCAGTCGCTCCACTGCATGATCTTCACAGTCTGTCCAATTACTCAATCGTACGGCCCCGTCATTATCTATGAGAAGCACAAAATCCCCAATTGGGGTTGGAAATGTATAGCGATAGAGACGCAGAGGTGGTGTGCTCATTTCACTCCAACTCGTGTAAACACTTAAGAAGAAATAACTCCAACGTTCTGCAGTAGTAAATACCACAAACAGAGTATTCTATAACAAACATTCGTCTATTGGCGACGTAACAGGTGTATGTGTATGTGTGATAAACATAGTATATATATTTATATGGAAAAGAAAGAAAGAAAAAAAAGGAAAAAGAATTATATGTATATAATCAAACCTAATGACAGCAATAAAGAAGGAAAATATACATTGTATTCTCTGTTGCTGTGTTTCCCACAACCACAAGAGAGAGGAAAAGAGAGGGAAAGAAACAAAAAAAAATAATAATAATTTAGTAGTATTCGTATTAGCATTATTATTATTATTAGTATTATCATTAATAGTAGTCGTAGTAGTAGTAGTAGTAGTAGTAGTATAGAAAAAAAAAAACACACGTAAAGGAGATGCAGAAATAAAGATTCCTCCTCATCTCTTATGCACTCATCGCATAGAGTACATCCTGCCCAGTGATGGCGGATAGATTCAAACACAATCGCCGTGCCTGTTCGACCACCGCCGCGTCCCGATCTTCCGTCGCCTCCACAGCGGCCGGCAACATCTCCGCCATCAGTCGCGCCGCCAACTCATCGCCGCCGTCGGCGTAAACACCATCCAAGCAGCGCAGCACAGCAGAGCGAACATGTCGACTGGTGTGTCGTAATGCCCGCAGGAGTTCCTGTTGCGTTTTACTTTGTTGTTGTTGTTGCTGGAGTTGTGAGGGGGCGGCCCCAACAGCAGGGGCGAGGGAATTAAAGAAGGCACGAATAGCGGGAATAACAAACTGATCCACACGGAAGTTGTAATCATGTGTACCATCGGCTAAATAAACCACATTGGTGAGTTGTCGTACTAATGCCGGCATCACAGCCGTGAAGACGGTTGGAGTGGAGAGATAATTCTCTACGGGAATACTGTAATCGTGATTGGGGGCGGGTGTCTGTGCAAGTGCAATGCGGCGAATGACATCTAATGCCCCTTCCAACGTGCGGGCAATGAGACTGGCGGCTTGTTTCATGGTATGTTGAGTGGAAGAACAGTAGGCGGTGAGTGTACTCACAACATAGGGAAGTACAACAGGGAATCCAAAATCCAGAATAGATCCAAGCTTCTCTAGTAAATGATTACATAATGCATAGAAGAGTAACCAACAGTGAAGCGTTGTGCGAGTCACCGATAAGGCATCATCTCGCCTATGCATTTTATTACCACCATTCCTTCCCTTTTTATTATTATCCTCTTCTTCTTCCTCTTCCTCTTCTTCATATTCTTCTTCTTGTTGTTGTTGTAATGCTTGTTGCTTCTGTACATTCTTTAAAAGACTTTCCGCATCTCCACCAAATGCCCATTCTGCTACAGTTGATAAATATCGTGTACAATGTTTAGATTTAAACTTCAAAAAGAAGACTGTATATGCTTCCAGTACAGGTTGAACAATATCACGAGAGGGAAGTGCTGGTGCTGTGGCAAGTGCTTGAAAGGAGGCAAGCCAAAAATTATCTTGTGGAGTTGTACCACCAACAAGAATATGAAGATGTTGTAATTCTTCCCGTTTAAGTCCTTGTACACGTCGTTTAACACTATTGTAGAATAATGCAAAAGAATGAGTTTCCACACGAACTCGTATATTTTTCTTAGATTCCATAGTAGTAACAGAAGTAGATACCCCACGTAAACACTCTGTACAGGCCTCAATAAATAATTGTGGCTCTAATACAGCTTCCAACATGGCCATAGTTTCTTCACTACGGTAATTAGTTTCCGTATCATCTACATTGTGAAGATGTGTGGCGGCAAAGATAATACGTGGAAGATAAGGTTGACACATAAGCCAACATGATGGGAAAACACGTAATAAACAACTAAGAGAAGCTTGACGAAGTAATGAACCCACTTCACTACGGGATACAATAGCTGGAATACCAGATACAGCAAATACGGCGGATGAGGCTACAACTTGTAGAATATCATTACTATGTGGAGTGGTAAATGCGGTACCCATTACCTGACTGATCGTTCCAAGAGCTGTCAAGAGTCCAGCAGCTGTAATTAAAACTCCCTCTTGCAATGATAAGGATGATGATGATCCAGTTGTATTAATTCCTCCTGTTTTTACGGACATGGCATCACAGTGTAAAAGTCGTGGAAGCATTTTCAAAATATCTTCCACCCAACGATGAACCTCCTGCACACGGGCCTTATTTCCAAATAACTTTGAAAGCATAGCTTCCGTAACACGATTAGATCGGTGTACATTTAATAATGTCTTCTCTGCTTGTAAACTTCCACCACTGCTAACAATACGAACAAGTTCCTCCATACAACTCACAGTGAGTGGAAGCATTTCTACTGCTGTATTTAACATCGTACTTGACTCTGCAGTAGTATTAGTTGTTGTTGTTGTTTTGAATAAATCACTTAGAAGAGTGGCGAGGTGTGGAAAAAGTGCAAAGGAACGTTTAGTTGCTAATGGACGTGCCTTTACACGTACGAGATCCATAAGAGTGAGTTTACGCTTTGGATCCCGTAATTCCTGTCGGTGTTGTTCCAACTCTGCATCTGTGAGAGTGTGTTCGACTGTTGGTAAGGCATGATGTAAGCGATCTAGTAATACTTCCAATCCCTTTCGTTGTAAAGGTACACGTGAATCTGTAAGAAGACGACGTAGACATGAGACAAATGTTGGTTCATTAATACCAGCAAGTACACAGGCTAATGTATTACCAGCAAGAAGTTCTAAAAGCATCACAAAAGCCTTATTTTCACCAAATTCTGGTAATTCTTCTTTTTCTTCTTTTGTCCTTGTTATGGTTGTTGTTGTTGTTGGGGCATCATTTGCTGTACTTCCATTAAGTTCAGCGTAGTGGGCAAAGAGTTCTAAAGAGGAAACTAATAATCTCATACAGGCATCATCTGTTTTTGTTCCTTTTTCTACTTCTGTTGATCCTGGATGTTCATCTGCCTCATTCTCATTCTCACCTTCTTGTTGTTGTTGTTTAGAGTGTGAAGTTCGTGATGTGTGGCTATGATGTTGTAATTCTAAGAATCCACCCAAGAATGCCTCTGATTTTACGGTCATATTTACAAGATGTAAAATAGTTTCTTGTCTATTAATGACCTGATTAGGTTTTACCAGTTTACGGAAAAGTTTAACAATATTATCATCTTCCTCATCCTCCTCTCTTTGATTCTGTGCTGCTGCTGCTGCCGCTGAAGAAGAAGAAGATAGTTGCTGGTGTGGATCAATAAGGAGTTGCATCATCTGCGCCAGACAAGAGAGTTGAGTATGGATATCAAAACTTGCTAACAAACTACTACACACATCCATAGCACTTTCATATCGGCTTTGCATTAATGAAAAGTCCATAGACTCCAAACGAATAAGAAGAGCCACAACAGGGATGTGTAAAGCGGCAAAACTTGGAGCCGCCGCTGCAGAAGCAGATGCTGAAACTGAACCAGGTACAGTTGGTGTAAATAGAGGAGATACAATACGTAGTAAATTGGCAATCGTATCAATTCGATGACGAGAAAATGTGGATTCGGATGTTTCTTCACTACTTTTCTCTGTTGTTGTTGTTGTTGTATTATCATCTGGGACGAGAAGTGCTGCCATTAACATTACGGTTTGTTTCACCAACACACGAGCAATGCGAGAGGCTCCATGTGCTTCTCCTTCATTAAGTGCATGTGGAGAAGATATGCAGAGACCCACTACAGTACGAACATACATCATTCCATAGCGATTAAATGGTAACATTCCATTACTCTTCTCATTATCATCATTATTATCAGATTCTGTAAGAAGTGGTAATAACGCCGTGAGTGGAAACTGTTCCAGTAAACCATTAATAAGAGCAAAGAGGGATTCTGTCTGATCATCATCATCAATGCGTACAGATGGAGAAAGAGCAACGAGACTACACAACAATCGTACCGCAGAAAGGGTATTTGCATTCCTTGGCCATAAGGATTGTGATTGATGTTCCTTTTCATTTAATTTATTTGAATTCTTATTCTTTTTATGCTTCCCTGTCTCTTGTGGTATGTCCAATACTTTACTACACAATTGTAAGAGTGTCTGTACGTCTGTAAACGTCATGGGGGAGTGGAGTGCACACCATGATGGTGGTTCCCATGTATCTATTGATGTTGTTATTGTTGTTGTTGTAGTAGTATCTCCCATTGAAGGAGCGGCCAATACTTCCACGACATCAGCAACAATGGAAAGATCTGCATTTTCCTCTTTTAATAATCGTGTAAGCCATGGGAGAAAAAGACGATGATAACCACCAAGTGTACCCAACAAGAACTGTGCGGCATCTGCGCCGAGTCTATTTAAACAAGTATTATCATCAAACATCACATGAGAAAGGGATTCCGTCATGTGTGCTAAGAAGGCCGCCGTGTTGACTTCACTACCACTACCACGTGTAGATGAGTTGTTTTTATTTTTATTTGGAATAAACACCAATGAATTTGTCTGTTCTCCCTCAAGTCCATGACTTAATGCGATAGCGAAGGCACGAAGGGCATGGCGGTAAACAGGGCGTACACGACTTCCCGCCACACGGAGAAAAGGATGGCGAAGAAGTTCCAAACATAATTCCAATACGGCCTTTTCTTCTTTTTCTTTTTCTTCTTTGCCTTCACCTGAGGTGTTGTTGAGATCTGTACGCAGACAGACAGCATGTAGAAAGTTAGAGGCAGCACTACTAACGGATGCTCCTGTATGTTTACCACCACTACCACCAGTTACAAGAATATTCTTTAATAGTGGTAAAAGAATATGAATAGCAATATGAGATGATGTCCGAGTCTTGCGGTTGTTGCTGTTCTTATTATTATTATTGTTACTATTACTGCGAATAGGAAAGAAATATTCCAGTACATGGCATGAAACAGAGAATGGCATAACTGGCTCCATCTTTGCATTGTTATTATTCATATTTGCCATCATACGGCAAAGTAATGCTGCAGCAGTCTGTGTAATATTCCCACGGGATTCTTCTCGTGCCATAACTTCAACGATTGCATTAAGTGTCGTAGCGGAAATATGTTCCTTATGAATAGCAGATTCAATAACCTTCTGCGCAACACTAACAGTAGCCGTAGTTTTATTATTATGAGAAGAAGATGCAGTAAGAATGATACCTTGTAATTCCTGCAAAACACGCTCCCGACGGGTTGTTGGTGCAGCAAGTGGAGTAAGTAATGTGAGAGTTAATGCTGAGAGTGAAAACATCTTCGTTTCTACTGTGCCGTCATTCTTGTTTTTATTAATACTATCATTACCAACTGTGCGGAAGACTGCTGTGTATACGAGATCAAACCAATCCACCGGAAAGCGTCCTTCCATACCATCATCACTACCATACACATTCTTCTTATTATTATCAGTAGTAGTAGTAGTAGTATTATCTTTAGTCTTCTGGTTCTCTTTATTATCACCATCCGTAACTGTCACCGCAGCAGCAGCGGTGGAAGCCTCATTCCCCTTCTTCTCCACATTGTAACAACGTTCAAGTAACTGCATGTAAACAGGTGAGAGTCGTGCAGGACTCACCGCAACGGCAGGCAGCGGCGTACTGAGAAGCCCCAATAACCGCCCCACACGCACCAATCCCATCCAATCATTATTATCATCCTCATCACCCGCACGTTGTTGAGGATCCTCACATTTATTATTATTATTTCCATTACTAAGATGATTACCATTAGGATGATCTTGATGACTGCTACTCGTCAGTCGCATCTCCACACCACGGCGCACGGTCCACCCAACAGCCGCCGTTAATTCATCCCGCGGCACGTACGGCGCCGCCAAACTGTTCTTCGCACCGCGGCCAACTTTCACAGCCGCTCCGCGTAATGCCGCCCGCTGCGATTCCTGCAAACTCTCCAAATAACCCGCCGTTGATTCCGACGGAACACTGCCGGTGTTCTCACCAAGAAAGAAGCGCCATAAGAGACGAATCACTCCATCCATCTCAGATGCCGCAGCCGTTGTTAGACACGATGCACATGCCAAACAACATTCGAGCATCACTCCTCTTGATTCCCGTGAGAGAAATTCGCCGGCGGTGTTGCTTGCCAACTGTGCGAGTGTTGAGTTTAGACGTGCAGAAGCCTCACTACGTAAAAGTAACAAGAGTGGTACAGATTCAAAAACAGAAAGATATCCGTCAGTGATTTCTTTACTAGTACCTTGCAGAGTAGATCCTTTTTTAACCTTTTCATTTTTCTTTCCTCGTAAGGCTGACTCTTCATCATCATCATCGCTGCTTTCTGTATCGTCGTCGTCGTCATCATTTTTGCCGTTCTTTCCCATTTCCTCTCCGGATGCAGGGTTGAAAAAAGTGGCAGTACGGTTCATATTTGGTACAATAGAAAGTAGTTGTTGCTCTAATTCTGATATTAACTCACGAAGCTGATCATCTCTTTTCTTATTACTTTCTTCCTCAAGAGTACTGTGATCCAGTTGTTTTCTCGTTTGCCGATCTGTACAATCAACATACAAGAGTGTCAAATAATAGACCAACAGACCATGTACTTCATTGTAAGAACTGAGAGTATGGTTACTCATATTCAATGAGGATTGTTGCTTCTTTTTATTCTTCTTATTTACTGAGGAATTTGAAATATGTTTTTCAACGTACATAATGAGTGGTTGTAGTACAACGTGAAGGAACTCCTTCTGCAAGTTAACGTCATGTTGTGTAAGCATCATCCAAAGTGAACGAAGCATACTACGAAGATGGGAAAGTACAATTTTTTGTTCAATAGAAGATTTCTTATTATTATTATCACTTTCCTTATTATCCTCATCATCCTCATTATCACTTGATGTAAGGGATAATAACTTTTCCATCGCTGAAACAGATGTGTGTAGGAACTGTTCACTAACCTTATAGGATTGTTCATACTGCATAACGTGTTCCAGTAGATCCAACATGGAGTTACCCGCAGTGGAACCATGAGATTTTGAAGAGGATGTCATTAGTTGTTGTGCTGTCATTGTATGTAATTCTCGGGCAGCCAACAAACGAACTTCTGGTAAAGGATGTAATAAACATGAAAATAGAGGAAGACGTTCAACTTTTCCAGAAGCACCACGAACCTCTAATAGTTCATATCGTGTCCCACTAAGATGTTGGGCTACAAAAGCGGCAGCTGCAGATTGTGTAGTGACATCATTAAGTAACTGTGATAAAGTGGTATCAAACACATGTGCAAAGCGTCGCTCTAGCGCTCTCATCCAGGCAGTTAGAGAACTTCCATTTTCGTTTTCTTTTTTCTTTAACTCATTATCACCAGATGTTATTTCCTCTTCCTCATTACTGATATTGTTATTCTTCTTCTTGTTGTTCTTCTGCTTGTTGTTGTTGTTATCTTGTGGATTTGCAAGTGATATCCGTGCATGACATGTCATTAAGGTTTGAATCACCTCCGTTACCAAAGTATCGGAAAGTGGAAGGTTTTCTACCGCACACTGTACAAAGCCCAACACATCTGGACTAATAGAATCCAATGAGTGAGCCACTCGTAGTCGTTGTAAACAATGACGTAGCAGAACAGATATGAGAGAATTGTACATTCCCGCATCCACGGCGGCAGTTTCCTCTGCAACTGCTGCAATCCACGGAGACCACTGTTTCCACGGCAATGCCAACAGCATTTGGATCTGTGGACCAAATGTCACTTGAGTTACCACAGAACGTTGAGTGTAGAAGAGCAGATCAATAACGCCAAGCAAATCACTTGTTGGTACGGTAGCAGGAACATTAAAAGAAGTAGATGATGATGAAGAAGCATTAAAAGTCGTGTAGGATGAAGCTCTGGTTAAAAGGGCTATAGTTGGTTTCATCACCGTTGCGAGTGTTGGCACTGTTAATTGTACCTCATTACTCCATGCCGCCAACACAACGAGAGCACTACACACCACCTCACGGCTTGGTAACTGTATTTGTGTATCCCCGCCTTGTGTATCTTCTAAAAGATGAGATTCCTGTTGTTGTTGTTGTTGTTGTGATAACAATTCGCCCTTTTCTGCTCCTGAAGCCGCACCACTGAGAAACTCCACAAGAAAAGGCAACAACACACGCCAAATAGTTTCCGCATCTGGATGAGATGCCAATTGCACAGCCACACCGGTGAAAAGTGCATTCGCCGCATTATTGTGTACTTTCATACGGACAGACATGGCAAGTGTGAGACACACCAACCGCAGAGCTTTTCGGCTCTCTGCACATGCTAATACCAAATGTTCACGAAGAAGTGGAGCTCCATATTCTTGATTCTTTGAAAGAAAAGAAAATCCAGTATCACGTAAATCCAATAACATGACCGCTCGAACAAAGAGACTATGATCATGATAAGGCAAAAAGGTTCGAAGTACTGCGGCTACATTGTATACATGCACCTCATGTACACGGACAAGGTACTCAAATACCTGATGTGCTGCTGTGAGAAACATATGAGGGCTTAACAATGTTAAAAAACGTTCTATCGTCACATCAAGAGCTTGGTTCTCTTCTGTGCTGAGTAACTTCCGCTCTGTACGAGTTTTGTGTGGGTGGAACAACTCTTCAAGAAATGGATGTAGACGGTTATCAATGGCAATAAGTGTTTGTAAACCATGAACAGCGAGTTGGTGAATCTGCTCTCGTGAGAAACTGCGTGCTTCAGTGCTGTCAAACAAAAAAGACTGTGTTAGACGTTTATCCCCTACTGGCCGCTGCTGCAGCTTCTGTAGTTGGGATGCAAGCTGTGAGGTCATTTTTTACACTATGTATATATATAAATCTCTCTCTTTCTCTCTTACACACACAGACAGTGGCAGTTATTACTGATTTGATGTCTTCTTTGTTTGTTTATTTTATTCTTTTTTGTTGTTGTTTTTGATAGTAGTGAGTTCCTACTATATATGTATATATATATATATATATGTTTTTTGTGTATTATACGAATGTTTATGACGATTCTTTACTTTTTTTAATTTTTCTTTTAAATGTAGTTGTATACCCTATCTGGTGTCTGTTACTTTCCTTATTCTTCTTTTGCTCTCACTTGGAAATAAAAAAACAAGAACGACAACAATAACTGCAAAGCAAAAGAAAAAAAAAAAAATAGCAACTATCTGCTTCTTTCCTTTTGCTTTTTTTTTTTTTTTTCTTTCTTTCTTGTTGTGCGCCTGTTTGTGTGTGTGTTACCCTTGTATAAGAGTCACCTCTATTCCAATGTGCGATGCTTTCTCATAAGAGAGAAAAGAAAAGAAAAGAAAAGGAAAGAAAAATAAAAAGAAAAGAAAAAAAAACACTAAAAATAAAAAATCCAACACAGATAAACTCATACACCCATACACATTATACACACCACATTCACAGCAGTTCTGTTCCTCCTTTTCACAATAATCATCATCATCTTGTCAGGCATCCCCACGCAGTCGCTTACGCCTTCCACCCGCAGCGGCAACTGTCTTGAGTCGCTCCACTGCCCCAAGCGCCCCAACAGACGACGCCGTGAAAACACGATCATTCGGCGTAAATCCCCGCAGCCGCGCCCGGTACGCCTGCAGACCCGCACTGTTACTACTCGTATTAAAAACAGCAGGACTAGTATTATTAATATTAACACTACTATTAATAGTGGCGGTGGTGGTAAGACTTGTCGAGGAGGTATTATTTGAGGTGTTCCACTGCTGCTGCTGCCGCCGCTCGAGGCCAAAGCCGTCAAAGAGACAGCCGCCCAACTCCACATACTGCCGCAGGTACACACTCTCCAACTCATACACGCGCAGGTCGAGGGCCTCGAGATGTGCCTCCAGTGCCTCGCGCCGCTGCTGGAGTTGCTGCAGCTGCAGAGGCAACGCCACCGCGTCATCGCCGCCGGGGAGACCAAAGGCAGCCGTCGTCGTCGT